CTCAAGGCAGATAATTTGTAAAAGAAAGGGTTCAGCATTTGTCAGTGAAAATAACAATGACAAGGACGAGAAAAAGGAAAGATCGAAAACAGAAAACCCTTAAGAGGAGAAGAGAAGTGAAGTCATATCATCCGGACTGATGATCATTTAGGAAAATAAGCAGCTCCTCGCGAGTTGCTGGATCCTCAGCATTATTATGGTCTAGGACTCTTAAGAGGTAATGCATACACCGCCCCAGCGACTCGAGCAGGAGAAAATAAGACGCAGGCGCCGTGCTATTGGTCAGAAACAGGATTCGGTGAATTCTTTTTTGGGCTTTTAAGGAAAACAGCCGGTGCTGTGTATCCTTCTCAACTTTCTATCGTACATGTCTCATGTGTGCAGGGTACACAGACAACCAGCTCTGTGCTGATACCCCCATACGATTGGACCGACAAGCTAAAAATCCTGGCGACTCTCCAGAAACCTTCTTGCCAGTCGCTCCCCCACTTTTCTCAGTCCCAATTCCCCAACTCCCAATTCGGTTTTTAGCGCATGTCAAACTGGGTCGGAATGAGCTAAGGAATAATGACAAATGCACAGCTCTTTCCCTGCCGAGCGGACTATTGGCAAAAAGCTGCAGGCGGGCGGGCGCGGACGTCGATCCGTCGCTGGCTTCCTTTCGCCTTGCGTCCAGTTCCCTGATTCGGCAACATCCCATGATTTCACTTCCATCAAAAGCAAAAGGGGAAGAGGGAGAAAAAAGAGAAAAAAAGAAAAAAAAGGGGAAAAAAGGAAAATGGAAGCAGAGCTGGATTTCTTGCCCCACTCCACAGGAGCAGCTGGTCTACCCTGCTAGGATGCTTCCTACCTAGATACTGCATGCTATGGAGCATCGACATCGACCCAAGAGGTTGTTTAACCTTTTTGGGATTGTGTCACTGGCAGTGGCACCCTTATTCCCTATCGAAGTCCATCTGGAAGACTCTTTTGAGGAAGAGGAAAACGAGGGAAATCAGAATAAGATTTGTCGGAAGCATTCAAGAAACCAAAAAGAAAAAGAAACCAAAAAGAAAAAGAAAAGAAAAAAGAAAGAAAGAAAGAACGGAGACACAGATGCAAAGGGACTACTAGCAACAATGTGACTGCAAGTCTGTTCGAGGCTCATCACTGAAGATTGAGGCCTTATTATTGATTGGCCTTGACTGGGGAACCCTCCCTCCATCCCCGGAGGATTGGAACCTGACTATCAGTCTACTATTTGTCCCTCTAATTCTCCCATTCCGAGTGAGCAGTGACACCCTTCCGTCGTCCGGACTCCGGAGCGCCAAAGGAAGACTCCCCCCTCCTCCATTTTGACTCCATTGAGATCTACCGTGATGGAGATCAAGGCTATCGGCTGCTAGTCGCTGTTGCACTGGCCACCACTATAACCCACTCTTTCCTCACGTCGCATGGCGCATCAGAGCTTTTCCCGTTTTAAGGTAGAAGCCTAATCTAACCTGCGAGAAAAGAAAAGACTAGATCGTTCAGACTCCATCAATCGGTCTATCACTATTGTCTCCTCGCTCGAAGCAAGTCTTCCATTTGACGGTTGATGAGCTGTATGCCACTTCTGGCCCCAGAAGAAAAAGGAAACCGATATTCAGGCCTCCTCTGACTCTCTATTTGTTCTTTTCACTCCGTCAACTGTTCAAATTAATTGGCAGAACCAAGTGGTGCGTCTCATTGCCCCGTATAGTTCACCGTTTTCCCCTTTTTCCCCCTTTCGGATAGTGAGTGGACTGTCTCCAAAGTTCACCCAAAGCTATAACGTCTGGGGCCCAAATTTTCAGCATGCATCGTGACTCGGAGGTAAGGCATATTTGCTTTCCCTTTTTACGCCGTTTCCATTCTTATTTCCTTCTTTCATTGAAATATCCCGCTCTATACTCCTGCCTAGCCCCATTGATCGCCCTACCCATACTGCAATAAATCAACCCTACATGAGAACCGCCGAATCTATGGTGACCGCTGTCATGTTGTGGGCATAATTCAATGATCGACACACCCTAGTTTATGACTTGTCCAATCGCGGATATTGCACTGACTGATTATAAGCTCCTCCGGTCCTTGGACTTGTAAGCGTGAGAATCTCAGATGACGACCGGCGATTGAGAAGAACTATTGCGATTGGATAGACCCTGCAACTCCCGAAAGCCTTTCTCCATGCCAGATATGCTGCCTATTTCAACATCAGATCTAGCTTGTTTTCTATTCCTTTGAGACCCTTTCAGTCGTAGTTCCTCTACAGCATCAGGGACCCTCAACCTACCAAATGCAATCACTCGTCCTTCCCCCTACAGCCCTCACCAGCACACAATTTGGACATCCAAGGTTTACTTCAGCCTCCGAACGGCTTGCTCTTAATTACACGCTACCGACAAATGCTCGTCTGTGCAATCCCCGGGATCTTCCACCCGTTCACCCTATGTCCAGCTCGGTCCCGGCAGAAGACCCGCTGGAGACTCATCGACACGTCAGACAGCCCCCTCATACAACAGGACTGCCAACAGTTACGGCTGTGCCAGTGACCGCGCCCGCGGTGACAACGGCGTCTTTCTCAGACACGGCTCTGGCGTCGAGATCTTCAGGCCCCACGACAGGCCATACTCCAGCATTCCAACAATATGTGGCTCAGACCACTAGAGAAGAGATACGACCACCGTTCATCTTCAATGAAACTGTCCCTGGTTCGCAAGCACCGCCGGGGACCACCGAACAACGAGCAGCACAAAAGCCCTCGGCGACCTTTCCATCCTCGAGTTTCGGAACCTCGCCGACTGGCACAACTACTAGAGCGCTGCTGCCGAAAGGGACGAGGCGCACTAAAGCTCACGTCGCATCAGCGTGTGTTAATTGCAAGAAGAAGCATCTAGGGTGCGATCCTGCCCGGCCTTGTCGAAGGTGCGTCTTGTCGGGAAAGGAGGTAAGCCAATCTATTCTAGTCCACCTGAGATGCAGTTCGTTGCTAAGATGAATACTGGTGAAAAATAAAAGGCTACCTGTGTTGATGTTACGCATAAGAAAAGAGGAAGACCACCACTGAAAGCTGAAGATGCGTCTCTCAGGACGTACACATCACAGGCAGAGAATGCGGTGACATCTGGAGAGCAGCAGACCCCTCTAGCCAGGCGCACCCATACGCATAGGTCCACCGGCTCTCGCGAAATTCGACCTGTGACAGATCTTCAGATGCCTGGTACGCCACAGGGGACAGTCGGGTTTAGGGCTCCGCCAGGTCACCCTCACCGGTGGTCGACTTCCGTATTTCCCCAGGTCGTGGATCCCTCAATATCGATGCAGGCAAACCTTGGACATAGGCGATTTTCTTCTTCTGGTTCCATACCACAGATGACAGCCGCGACACAGTCGGGTTTTATGCCTCTCACAAGTGGTTTCAGTCCTGCGCTCAATCTCGGTCGCGCGCCAATGGGCGCAGGAAGGGCTCTTTCTTCATATAATCACCAGGGATTACCTCCTACCACATCTCCACCGCAATATCAGCAACCATTCGGTGTGGCCATGCCGCCATACACAGTGAGCCCGAGAATGGTGGACAGGTTGCCGCCGGGCGACGCTCGCGAAGCATACCCCGAATCTTCAGTCCGACTGCCCCCCATTTTCCCTCCAGCGATGACGCACTCTCGTCCCGCACCACAGTCACATCGGTTGAGCGATCCTTACCCGGCAGTGTGGTCGCCTCGGCTCCGTGAGGAGCTGATGCAGCCCCAACCACAGCAGCAGACTGGCGGCTCGTCGCCGCACAGTTTTATGGAACCAATCTCTCCTGCGGCGCAAACGCGTCACGCCGCGCTCGAACACGGCCATGGAGAATTGGGGCCGCAACAATCAAATTCAATTATACAAGGAGCACAAAATCTTTCAGTGCAGTCGTCTCCAGCTCGTCCTCGAGACGAACAACCGGCTGGGGGCCCCGAAACAGGCGAATCCAGGCCCGCAAAAAGGCGAAAGATGGCCCTGGATGATATGGTGAACGACTAATCGTCTCCTGTAGACAGGACTTATATGGGTTCAAATTGGCTCTTTTTCTTCGATTTTGGCCGCCTGGAAGTCCGGGAGACCTCCTCAAGACGTCAATTCTTGTAGCAGGTCCTACAAACCTGAACGACCCTGATGCTTACATTTCCTTTGTGCGTGTATCTCCAACTCTCAGTTTAATTCGCTGTACGATTTGATCACCTCTCATCGCAGCCTTGCGCAGCTTACACCACCCGCCGACTCACTATTTCCTTTGTTTTTGATATCCCTGGTGTTCTCATGCGCTCCAGCAACCCCGGTGGTGGCATCTTTACATCTACTACTCCATATCTCAGCCATGTCTACACTATACACTGGCCGCTCCATATTCCACGATCGTCTTCATCTGCGTCTTCGTCTTCCATTCTTTCCGTTTTATCAAGGTCAAGGTTCATATCTGGCGTTTTGTCTCCTTTGTATTCTCGGAGTTTCACGGGGTCATGCCATTCGCATAACTGTATTCGATCATCCACACTGCTGCATAATGCATAGGAGGGGAGCGGGTCATATATATAATTTTCGTTTTCATTTTCCTTTTTACTGGTTTCTGGTTCCCTTTGTCAGCATTCTATATGTCTCATAGACTATGCATACAACAGACTGGCTCTGGTATCCTGCTGGGCGGATGGCCTAATACCTAGTGCTTGTGACTATATGGCTGGGGATACTTGGCAGTTGAATAGAGATTTGATGTGGAACTGGTCTTATTCGTTCTGTATCTATACTGTACGGTAGTATCTAGATCAGTGATACGGAGATGGAATAGTTGAAGTTGTCTTCCCGCATATCCATCCATCCTTGACCAGCAGCAAAGTAAGCAGAGTCATGACTCGTGTCGTGTGGTGTCATTCGTGTCTCATTCAATTCAAGTCACGTATATACACATCATCTATTACAGATATAAACAGGCATGAGAACGGGAATGGACTGAAAACACAATACTATAAGAACAACCACATCCCAACTCGCTTAAGCTTCCCAAGTACGCCCTTTTCACTCTGCAACTGTTTGATATGCAGAATCCTCCCAACCCGGGACGGGCTATCGCCATCGCCATTACTTCCATCATGCTCCGCATTAAGGTCATACCGATCCGTAACCAAGTCCATCTCATCGAGATGGACGAACCTCGTCCGCTTAACCAGCTTCCAGACCAAAAACATGACAATCATGACCGGGATCTCGATGTAGAACGACACAAAGTCGACGGCCTGGAAGGACGGGCTGAAGCAGGACCAGCCCTGCACGAGGATCAGGACGATGTTCAGGCTGACGGCGACGATGGGGCCGACGGGGTATGTCCAGTTCTTGAAGGGGAGGAGGTGTTCGAGGTTCTGGCGGCGGATGGCGGCGCGGAAGCGGAGGGAAGCGATGCCGATGCAGACCCAGGAGATTTGGTTGGAGACGCCGACGATGCTGGTTCTTTTGTTAGAGAACTTGTTTGTTTGGCAGATGGTTGATGGGTGATAAGGGGGGGGGCTTACTTTTGCAACCATGTCCAGAGCTGGCCGGCTCCGATGTAGCTGGCTCCGAAGCATAGGCCGCTGATGAGGGAGGTGGCGAGCACGGCGACCCAGGGGATCTGGAAGCGGTTGAGGTGGCCAAAGAAGCGGGGGGCGTGGCCGTCTACCGCGAGGGTGTAGAGAAGCCGGGACCCGGCGAAGAGGGCGTGGTTGGCGGCGGAGATGACGCTTGTCATTAGCACGGCGTTGATGAAGCTGCCTGCGATGGCGCTGCCGGCTTCCATGAAGACGATGGTGAACGGGCTGGTGGCGGTGGTTTTCTTCGACAAGTTGGGGTAGTTGTAGGGCACATTCAGACCGATGAGAATGATGGAGATGATGTAGAAGAGGACGATCCGCCAGAAGACATTGCGGACAACACGGGGCAGGTTTTTGGCTGGGTCCTTGGTTTCTCCCGCTGTGATGGCGATGGATTCCGTGCCGCCACTGGATGAAGTCAGCTCTGCTCTGCCTTTGTTATATTAGATCAAGGAAAACATACTAAGCAAACGATGCCGTGACGAAGACGGAGGCGAATCCACCGATTCCACCCACGAAGGGGGCATCGCCGACATAGAAGTACTTGTCACCAATGTATTTGTGCTCCTTATTGCCCCCGCAGTTGACAACAATCCCGAGAATGATGAAAATCTGAAATAGTTAGTCTCAGACTGAAAATCTAACAATGTGGCGCGGATGCGAGCATACTATAATCGTGATGACCTTCAGTAAGCTGAGCCAGTATTCAACCTGCGGCGAGTTAGTAACTTCCTTGCTAAAAGCGCACCATGACCATACCTCTCCGTAGACTCTCACAGACATCACGTTGAATAAAATAACAACAATCAGAAAGATCAAACTGATCGCCCAGCCTGGGAAGTTATCCGTCCAATACTGCAGCAATAGTTGCAGTGCAATGACATCCGCCGCCGTCGAGACAGCATCATTAAACCAGTAATTCCAAGTCAGAGCGAACCCAAGAGCATCGTCGACGAAGCGACTGCAGCAGTTGTCAGCGATACCCTCACCCTATCCATCAACGAACCACTTACCCTGCAAAAGTACAGAACGAACCCGCAATGGGAATAAACGCCGCCATCTCACCCAAACTCAACATCGTGACAAACACAATCCCACCGCATATGGCATACGATATAAGCATCGACGCCGGACCACCCGTCGCCAGAGCTTTTCCCGTTCCCAGAAACAGGCCCGTCCCGATTGTGCCGCCAATGGCGATCATCTGCACCTGTCGGGCGGAGAGCTTACGGGCGAGCTTGTCGGCTTTGACATGTTGGTTGAGTTCGAAAGGCTCAGCGCCTGCAGCCTTGTCGCTCAGAGGCTCCTGGGGAGCATGAGGGGGATATTTTTCGATATCATGGGTCATCATCTTTGCTTCGATCGTGCAGAGAGAAGACAACTCTGCGAAGAAGCGCCTCAACCCCTCACCAGACCACTGCCAAGCTCGAGAATCTCGCTCGGGTATATCTCCCACCGCAGCAGTCACAGTTGGCCAAGATCGCTTTTGGCTAGCAGCCACGTTAGTATGCTGTCGATGAAACTGCGCTCGAAAGGCTCCGACTCACCTTGGACTACTGGTTCTATACTTCACTTCCCAATTCGGTAATAAGCACGTGACCCTACCGGAGATTTCCAATTTTCAACTCCTTCAGGATCAACTTCAAGGACAAACACCCGTCACAACAGCAGATGAGTAGGAGTTAGTTCGAAGAGAGACAGTCCGCTTCACGAAAATTCTTCCCTCTCAAGCTGATTATGCCATTTGCAACCATCCTGACGCAAAACTAAACCCCTGTCTTGACGTTACATTCGAGAAGGTTTAGCGGCGATTGCGTGATCGATAAAAATTACGTACTGAGATGGCTCGGAAGGGTCTGAATCTCTTCATCTTCGATTGATCCAGAAGGGCCATCCGCACATGGCTGTGGGCTGAAGAAGACCAGGAGGATTGACGATTGGTTCGACCAGACGGAATTGCAGGCCATGGCTCCACGGCCGACGCCACGCTTTGGCTGAAAAGCTTCATTCTTTGTCTTGGCAGTTGGGTACTAGGAATATGCCCCGAGTTGGCTGCGGAATCTGTAGATAGAGGGAGCTGTTTGTATAATAATGCTCTTTCACAGTATTGTCTATGCTATCACTATATACAAAGCTTGATATAACACCCCTTGAATCAAAGAATGCTTTTATTACTCCGCTAGAGAAAAGTGCAATAAGAGAAAAAAAGGAGAATGTATCCGTAAATCGTCGATACAGGACCGCTAACCAAGCAAGCCAGTGGCGAGCGATTCCAGATCCTCCAGGGTTTGAATTTGAGGAGCGTTGGCTGCTTTGTCGCTGGACTTCTTGCTCTTCTTGTACCAAGGCTCTGCTTCCTCTCTGTCGTTCGCCTCGGTGAACTTGACCTTTGGTTTCTTGCTGGGACGTGGTGCTTCGTCCTCGGAGGCGGAGAATCCTCCATCGACGTCTTGGTCCCCTTCGTACGGAGGCAGTTGTACCAGTCTCTCTTCTTCTTCCGCTTCGGCAAGCAGCTCGCGCTCGCGGGCCTTGCGTTTCTCCTTCTTCTCGCGCCGCTTCTGTTTGGCGATCTCCTTGTCCTCCATGTCTGCCATACGTGTGCGCTCCGCCTCCTCGGCCAAGAACTTGGCCTGTTGATCCTTGGCGTCGCCGCGGGCCTTGAATTGCTCTTCGTCTTCCAGCTCGTACAACTCGTGCGCGTTTCCGTCGTCGTCGTAGACCAGTTTGGTTCCCTTGCCCTTGAATTTGAGTAACTTCTTCTTCGACTTGAGGAGCTTCTCGCGACGCTTGGAATCAATGACCAAGGGTGTACTGCCGTCAATATGTACCACCTTGACGTCCTTTTTGTCACCCTTCTTACCCTTATCGTCCTCATCGCTTGACGATCCCAGGTCCTTATCACCAGCGTCGAAGCGGCGTTTGACGGACAGGAAGTCATCATCTTCGTCCGCATCAGCCCCGGCACCGGCGTTGGGTGCAACCATTGTGCCGTCGTCATTGATGAGTTTCGAGTAATGCTCCGCCAGCACGTCTTGGTTCCGCCGCTCAAACATCCGGTCATATTTGGTCCGTACCTGTGGTTCCTCCTTCTTCTTGCTCTTCTTCTCGCCGTCCTCCTCGTCCGAGTCATCGTCGTCACTCAACAGGTGTGCTGCGGCTCGAGGTGCGTTCTTCCGTTGTTTCGTATCGTCTCCCTTGATGAATTTGATCCGAGGCGCACCAGGTAGACCTAAGCTAGCCGCGAACTCATCCAACTTCAGTTCCTTGAGTTTGAAAATCTCCTTGTCTTTCTGAATATAGACAGATTTGACATAAGAAATGAACGCCTTCTGCCCCAGATACTTGAGCTCGGGATCCTTGAAGCACATGTTCTGTAGCTGATCCTTGATACTCTGTTGTTTGTTCGCCTTGATGTTAATCTTCTCGATGGGTACTTTCTTCTGCTCCAGACGCTTCAGCATGCCTTCCTCCTCACTGGGATCCAAGAATAAAACCGCACGACCGTCCCGCTCGTACCGCGCAGTACGCCCCACTCGGTGGATATAAGTGTCCGCATCTTCCGGACAGTCAAGCTGGATGACCCAGTCGACTGCTGGGAAGTCCAGACCACGAGCAGCAACATCGGTAGAGAAGAGAACGCAATGCTTCGATTGAGAGAATCTGGTCACAATGTCCAATCGTCCACCCTGCTTCTGACGGCCGTGAAGATGCATCAACGGGATACCAGGCTGTAAATGTCGGAAGGATTCGTATATAAATCGTACTTGTTTTCCCGAAGACAAAAATACCATGGTCTTGGACTTAAGATTGCTTCGGATAAAACTCCACAGGACATCAAGCTTCTGCGGAAGCGGCGTAATCACGTAATGTTGCTGAAGTTTAGATGGCGTTGCTGAAGACGCCGACTCGTGGACAGCCACGTACTCGGGATCCTGGAGACTCAACCGGGCAAGGTCCGAAACCTTTTTCGTCTGAGTTGCACTGAAAAGCAACGTCTGGCGCTCTTTAGGAAGGTGGCCGATAATGGCATCCACAGTCTGCTGGAAGCCCAAATCCAGGATACGGTCTGCTTCGTCGAGGACCAGCATCTGGAGATTATATGTGTCGAACAGTGCTGTCTGATCCAGGTGCTGTAGCATACGACCAGGCGTACACACCAGAATATTCATCCGTCCCAGTCTCTCCTGCTCCTCCTTCAAACTCTTCCCACCAATGACCAGACCGGCCGAAAATGTATGATAGCGACCGATCTTTCGGAGAACTTCAAAAATCTGAATGGCGAGCTCGCGAGTTGGAGATAGAATCAAAGCGCCCAACCCATCATGCTCAGCCCATTGCCTGCGGTAGAGATTTTCGAGCACGGGGACGAGAAAAGCCAGCGTCTTGCCGCTACCCGTCTTTGCGGCTCCCAGGACATCTCGACCCTTGAGCGCGTGACTTATCGCACGGGATTGGATATCAGTCAATGTTTTGTAGTGCGACGACGCAAGTCCTGAAGCGGTCGGTTCGGATAGAGGCAGATCGGAGAAGGATTTGAAGGTCTCTTTGGGGTCAAGATCTTCGACCCGCTGGATGAGGGACGACAGTTCTTCCTGCCCGCGCTTGCGTTTCAACGTTTTTGAACGTGGTGGCTTTGCATGTTTACCAGTGCGAGGACCAGCAGCAGGAGCCATGTTAATCCGCGTGAGCCTGTATCAAGGGTATTATCCTCACTGATACAGATGGCAGTGATCTTGGGTCGGCCATGAAGCAATCCGCCGTCGGGCGGTGAAGCAACTTTTTTTTCCTCCGCTGCTGAGTCAGCCATAGATAAGATTGGCAGCTTATCACGGGCTCTCAGACTACTGGGACTGTTCCTGATCATACAGCAAAGACAGAGTAACTGAAGCTTCTGGCATTTGTAAGATTGAATTCACAATGTCATCCGACGAGCAAGATGCTTTGGACGCACTGGAGAAGGAGGCGTCGGATTTCATCAAGGTATGTGAGAGCTGTCCTAGCTGCAATTGGCGTCAGACTGACACGTGCTGCCATGTAGGATGCGGAAATCGATCGCATTCGAAAGGCTTTTCAATTAGATGCGTGAGTACTATTCTTTACTCTGTTGGTTTATTGACATCTTTTATGCATTTTATGGTCTGCCAGCTGACAATTTCCCTATAAGATATGCGGTCCTAGATCTTCAGCCAGGTGTCCCCGAATCCGACATCAAATTACAGTATCGCAAAAAGTCCCTTCTCATTCACCCTGACAAGACGAAAAACCCTGCTGCCCCAGATGCCTTCGATCGGCTCAAGAAGGCTCAGACGACATTATTAGATGAGAAGGCCCGCGCGTATCTGGATGAATGTATCGCTGATGCGCGACGGCTCTTGATCCGGGAACATAAGTACACAGTAGACTCCCCCGAATTGCAGACGGAAGAATTCAAAAAAGAATGGCGTCAGAAGACCGTTCAGGTGTTGCTAGAAGAGGAAGCGCGCAGACGGAGACAGCTTAAGGCCAAGCTGCAGGAGGAAGGACGAGAGAAGCGCAAAGAGGAAGAAGAGTTGGAGGCAAGGAAACGGAAGCGGGAGCAGGAGCAAGCCTGGGAAAATACGCGAGATGAGCGGATTGGAAGCTGGCGAGAATTCCAAAAGGGGCAAAAGAAGGGGACCGATGGTGACAAGAAGAAGAAAAAGATGAAAGTTCTGGGCTAATGATCTCGCATACAATGTCCGAATCGATCGGACTGTGGTCAACTGGCGTTTGGGATGCCTCTATTCTAGTTGTTCTCTCATCTTCTCAATGTTTCAAGATATGTGCTTATGTATCTTAGCGGTTCTTACTTATGATCCAAGATCTAACCCGATGACCGTTGCAGCCTCCTGAAGTTCTCTGCAAAATATGGGCCATTCCACACGGTCCATACTTGCCAATCCGCTGGATGCGATTCACAATAAGCGTTAGAACATAATAATCTATAGGACTGGTTGATCTTAGTCGAGCATGTGTCCTGAACACTTGGTCAAACAGTCGGCCCGCAGTCGGTGATGGCGACGCGGGGCGCGGGGTTGGACTTCTCCGAGGTGATTTCGGAAACCAGAAGATTCTCCAGCCTGTCTCCACCATCGGGAATGCCTTTTGTGATCCGCTGTCATTTATTTGCCCTTTCGTATCAAGTATCTCCCATGAGGCACCTTAGTATACGGAAACTTCGGTATTCTCTGCAATTTGCTCTCGACAAGCTATATGATCCTATCTCTCGTCCGTAACACCACTGGCTTTGCCGATAAGTCAGAGATACAGCGACATCACATTCCGCCCCCGCTACAACGTCTACCAAGGCTGCAAGCGTTATAAGTACGCGGAGTATATTTCCCACGTCAAAACAGCCACAGAATCCAGCAATTGGGATGCAAGATATGAGAGAATCTGCCTCCGAGCCACCTCGAGCGCTCCCAACTTCAAATGGCGCCGCAGTGAACAGCCAACAGCCTCCACCACACTATCCCAACTCCCCCGCCACGACAACAAAAGAAACGGATAACATCCCTTCGTTCCCCTCTTCGACAACCGCCGCAACAAAAGTCGAACCCTCCCTCTCGCTCCCCGATGTCGTCGCCGACCTCCACCACCGCGTCCAGTCCTTCCTCCAAGAATCACATCCCCCGGATTCCCTCCTCGCCGCCGTGCAACGACAGACCCGCATCTCCCTCGACGTCATCGCATCAGCGCTATCCCGCTACAAGCTCTCCGAAATCTCCCTCTCCTACAACGGCGGCAAAGACTGTCTCGTCCTGCTCATCCTCTTCCTCGCCAGTCTCCACCCGCATCCAACCCCCGAGGAAGGCGGCCTCGCCTATATCCCCGCCATCTATGCCCTCCCACCCGATTCTTTCCCTGCAGTCGAGGAGTTCGTCCAGTGGTCCTCGCGCGCCTACCACCTCGCAATCGTGAGATTCACCACCGAACCGCCCCGCACAACCCTCAAGTCGAGCTTCGAGCACTACCTCTCCCTCAACCCGTCCATCAAGGCCATCTTCGTCGGGACCCGGCGCACTGACCCGCACGGTGCCAATCTGACTCATTTCGATCCTACCGACAGCGGATGGCCTGATTTCATGCGCATTCACCCTGTCATTGACTGGCACTACGCGGAAATCTGGGCTTTCATTCGTCACTTGGGGCTTAAGTATTGCTCTCTCTATGATCAAGGTTACACTAGCCTAGGAGGCACTTCAGATACCCACCCGAATCCCAAGTTGCGTGTGGAACACAGCGCCGATTCAGATCAAGGCGCTGCAGATGGTACACAATCTCAGCACTACCGACCAGCCTACGAGTTGACCGCGGACCAGGAGGAGAGGCTGGGACGCAGCAAATAGCGGCAATTCGACGGCCTGGCGCCATCTTTAGTCCATTCCGGGCCCGTTGTGTATAGTGAGACCTCAACAGCCCTTTTTCCTATTTCGCAATCTTCGTCTCTAGCCTCTTCTTATCACTCCCTTCCCCCCAAACCCCGGACGTTGAGCGGTTGAACTTTTGATTTATGCTCGTCGCAGATCTATAGACTGTGCATACAACCTTGCATGATTTTCGAAGATGTTCCAATGCCATGGAACTTGACTAGAGCCGTTATCATTTTTAGACTAGGTCCTGGTCTGTTGAACAAGCCAAAAAGCGAGCCTACGCTTTTGGACAAAGAAAAAAACCACTTTATATCTTTAGAAGGACTTTTCACTGCTTGATTCGCCGAATCGGTAACATATACAGCTCTATATAACACATTTGTTGATCATACATCAAACTGCGGCATGGAGAAACTAAGCAAAGATAACACTTGCAACGCTTAAATATTAATCTGCAATGACTAGAAGAACCGAAGGCACAAAGAGGAATGAGGAGAATCAAGAGCAAGGGAGGTGAAACAGGAAAAAGCTCTGCAATAGCCGACCTACTGCAGTGATCATACAATCGATAGGATAATACCTCTTGAAGTAAAATAACCCGGAAGATAGAACGTCATGATGCTCGTAGTGACTGCCATGATTGACGATGAGGACGTTTTGGTGCCTATGAGCAGTGACAATACGGATATTCCATAGCAATGCGATGGGTAAGACAAAGCTTGAAGAGCCAACTCAGAGAACAGACCTTGGAGAAGTCATGAGGGCATCCTTGCAGGGGGAGATGGGAGACAGAGAATCAACGTCCATGTTCTCCTTCTGGGGACTGGAGCCTTGAGACCGAGCCTTGACGCACGGAGTGCTGGGCATAACTGTCTTGGAGGAGCTGGCAGAAGCATTGTTTGGAATGGCATGACGGTCATAGAGTCGTCCATGATATAACGGGGTGGTCTCCCAAGTTGCTGGACTGTTCCTGGTTGACCATGAGCTGAAAGGCATGTTGCTAGCCGGATTTTTCATGAACTGGTACCTGCTTATATCGTTAGACCGCTCATGGCATCTGTACCAGACAATCCTTCATACATACGACGGGGAGATGGACGTCGCAGGAGTCCAAGTGGAACCTACTCCGACCGGCGATGGATAGCTGACCTGGGAGTTAGGGCTGAGATGATTGGCGGTCTGCTGGAGACGGTGCAGAGAAGGCGATGGAGTAGAGCCCTGCACCACTTCAACGGAGTAGTTGTACTCTCCAGCACGGTATGCACGGCGCTCGTTGCTTTGCTGTTTCAACATCTTTTGTGCCTTCGTGTCTGCGAACCGGAGCAGCAATTTCACCCCATTTTTGGCGATGTTGTGGAATTCACCCAACACTTTCTCGGCGATTTCACGTGTCTCGAAACTGTTTAAAATGAAGTCAGATTGTGTCGCAGCGGGAGATAACCTTGCGAGTGAACACTTACCGAGCGAAGCCTACCTCCTTGCTAACGCCAGTTTTCTCGTCACGGCTGATCTTTTCGGAGACAACACGGTACGGCTCGAAATGATGTCGAAGGTCCTGGATATATTAGAAGGTCGTTTCGAATGAGGCTACCATACTTACAGCCTCAGTCCAAGTGATCGGAATGTTAGTGCAATAGATGTTGGTGGAGGTCTTGTCCTCAAGATCCTTCAGGCGCGAATTGCGAGATTTCTGAACCATGTTAGCGTTTGCGAATCTGTGAATGGCATTGATCCACAGTACTTGTGCAAAACTTGCTTGATATCCAAGATAAAAAAAGCCCCGGATGCAGTTCTCGCATGACTCGAAATTGTAAAACTGGACAAAACCGAATCTGGAAGCGAAGTTAGAGTGGCAGGTCAACATATTAAAAGCTGCTTTGACATACCCTTTGCAAAGCCCCGTGTCCAGATCCACAATCGCCTTGCAACGATCAATCTTCCCAAACCGGGCAGCATAAGAATGCAGCATCTCGTCCGTGGTCTGTGGCAAGAATCCTCTGATGTAGACGTTGGTAATACCTTCGCGGTTCTCGAGGCATTTTGCGAGCGTCACTTCCGAAGGGTTAGTCCACATGGCGGGAACGGCCCTCGGGATCGGAGGTTCCTGTTGAGTGATACCCTCCAGGTCCTGGAGCATGTAGCCATTGGGCGTCTTCATCACCTGGTAAGGGAGACATGGTTGCGCAAGGCCGTTGTAGTTCAGAAGTGGAATAGAGGAACCATCCATGGTGGAGACAGCCGGTCCAGGATAGAACTCACACTGGTTGCCAGGAGTTTCAGAGGTGGATTGGGCAGTTACCTTCTGATTCTCGCTAGCGATCCAACCATTCCGCTTCTGGCCAGCCAGATTCTGCAGATTGTTGTCTGCCACGAAAGGAAACGGATATCCCTGCATTGTTGCTGGCCCCATAGGAAAGTTGGGACTGACACTTGGATACATAGCTGGAAGATACGGAAGGTGGCCAAGCTGGTTTGGTCCGAGGGTAGGAGTGGGATTGAAAGACGAAATAGGAGGAATGCCGTTCAACATTGGCCCGCTGGGGAAGAGGACAAACTGGCCATTGTAGGGTGCACGATTGGGCCCGGACAGGTCCAAGTTTGGGGGCATTGTGAACGGCATGTTACCCTTGAGGGTGCTGTACTTGGGGCCGGAACGCTGGTTCTGAAATTTCAGACCTGCTTGAAGAGGAGCAGAACCGTCATGATAACCCTCCGGCTGGCTGGCAAACCCGTTCTGCTGGTACCCAGCAGCAAAAGGGGCATGAGAATCTTGAGCAAATTGGCCAGGCTGGGTCTGAGGAGCTTGACCAGAATCGGCCGAAGCAGCATGCTGTTGACTTTGGGACTGCATGATGGCTGTTTCTAAAAGTATCTTCAAGATGAGTTAGAAAATGCATAAATCTTCACCTTTCAAGTGTCACCATTCGGGCAAGAGTATTCAAATGCTCCGATGATGCCTGTGACCTGGAGAATCAACGACTATATGAGATGCAGGGGACACGCACCTTGGACTTCGGGATTGGACGGCAATAGCAGTTGTTGTAGAACTTTCAAAAAGACAGGTGGATGATCAAACTAGAGTCATCAGCTAGCGAACGATGGAAGAGTGCTGTAGTTAACTCGCCTACACTTGCGATGAAGCTTCGTATATAAAGACGATGAGGATTGAGTTCCTTTGGTAACGAGAGCAAAGTAAAAGGGTAAACGAGAGCCGTTTCTTGACGATGAATAGAGCTGATAGAGGTAGAGGATGACTGGTAACGAAAGGTTGCTAGCACAGAGGATGAATTGCTGACGACGAGAATGGGATGAAGAAGGATGCTAGAGAATGTGGGATGAGAACGGGTGGAAAAGTCCTGTCGGGCAAGTATAGAGAACCAGAAAGAAGGGCGCGTTTACAGAAAGAACACCTCTAGGACAAGCGACAAGAACCCAGAAAGAACGACCTATAGAACCTACAAATAAAGAAGGAGGCTATCGGGAGGTCAGAAAGATGACATTGATAATATAGAAGGAAGGTAGCCACAGTTCAAGAAATAGGAAAGCGAAGGGGAAGAGAAGAAGAGATCATTCATTACTTGGTCGAGATCGAGTGGGCAAACTAAGGCATCAATATGTAGCCTCAAGAGCCACATCATGTACCCGTCCATGGCAAAAAGAGCATCTGCACAACAACAATAGGAGTCCGAGGCAGCTACCTAGAGGAATCATGCCAAGTGATGCAGGCAACAATGAATAGCAATGATAGATTCTCCTTATGTCCGTAATCGGACGGCCGAAGCCGGTAAGTCGATAAAGAAATCCTAGACCTGCCCTGGGATAAGTCATACATATACTGCAAGACACTGAGCAGTAGTACTGAGAGCGTTCTAGCAAATGCATATGTATATGGGACAAGACCAACAGATCTATCTTTCTTAGAGCTCAATCTATAATGATAAGGTGGCTTTGCGAGATGAGGCAGGATGAGAAGGGCCCAGGATGTTCAAAAATGAGAAGAGGAAAGCAAACGGCAGGGGGAATCAGAACAGAAGAGGCATGCTGAACAGATCGTCTAGCGGATACAACCAGCTCTACTGCTCGGACCTGTCTTGCAGCCACTTGTACACGACAGAGAAGTCCTTGCCTCGGTACTCCTTCTCGACAGAATTGTATACCTCACGAGCAGTTTCAGCCAGGGCCAGGGGAGTGCCAGACTCCTTCGCGGCCGTGATTGCTAATCTGAGGTCCTTCTTCATCAAGCTGACTCCAAACCCGCCCTCATATCCACGAGATGCTGGAGCGGTCTCCAGAACGCCTGGAACAGGATTATTGACTTCCATTGGCCAACAGCGGCCGGTAGAGGTATTGATCATGTCTGCGAGAGATTTGGGATCCAGGCCCCAGCGAATTCCGAGATTCATGGCCTCAGCTGTTGCGATGTTGTTTATAGCCAAAATGTAGTTGTTGGCAAGCTTACCCGATACGCCTGCTCCGGGAGGTCCCAGATGCCAGGCCTTCTTTCCCATAAGCATTAGAACCGCTCTGACTCGTTCGATGAGCTGGCCTGTTTGAGACGATGCTCCGAACATAAAACTTAATGTACCTGCACGAGCACCTACTACTCCTCCTGACATTGGAGCGTCGACGAAGCGCCCTGTGCGTGTCGCATGGACTGCGTTTGCAATCTCCTTCGACGAGGCGGGGTCAATGGTTGATGTATCAATAAACAGGCGCTCTTCTTCCAGAGCGGGTAGGTCACCGTGCTTCATGATTGAATGAAAGACATCCTTGACGTGTTCTGGCTCCGGTAGACTAGTTATCATGACTGTCTGTAGAGGAGGAGCTTAGTACCAGTATAGCTAAGTGAGACACATATATAGGCGTTCCAAAACACTTCAAAGACATGGAGAACCACTAGCGCAGCTTTGCACCAAGCAGCACAGCCACCTCGGCGTATCAGAAAACATGCAGCTCCTGATCTTTGGGCGGAAACGCAACTAATAATGAATCAAGGACGTTTGACTTACCGACTGCTCCGCAACTTCTCGAGCACTCCGAGCGACCTCAACCTTCATTGTGCCATCTGCTGCACCACTGCTTTTCGCGGCCTCCTTTGTCTCCTCAACAAACCTGGTCGTCGCATTCTCGTTCACGTCACGCACAATCAGAGTGTCAGTAGCTGGAATTTTGGCACGTAGGTTCTTGGCCATTAAGTAGCCTACAAATAAAGAGAGAAAGCAATTAGACCCATAACCCCTTCGCTTCAGATAAGTGGTCAAAAGAAAACATGAACGCTTTGATTCAGTCTCGCTCCAGGAAAAGAATGCACAGCATCCGTTCGAGCAGGACGGGCAAAGAGCACGAATAAATTAAGACAAACTAGGTTAACATACCCATTTGTCCTAAACCGATGAATCCCCATGTTGCTTCACGTTGCAGAGTAGTAGAGAATGTTCTGGCCTGAGACCGCTGGAGCTGTGGCATTGACGACAATGAAGCCAGCAACGATTTGGGGACAGATAATCCCCGCATTCGAAGGGACACAGTGGATGTGAGACTCATTTTCAGGTTTCAGCGTTATTAAGACGAATTGATAAATTTTACCAACTCTTCCCTGGCTGTACCAAGACGAGCGAAGAGAATGACAAGAGGAATAAGTGTGATGGGGTAATGTTAGATCTGCAGTTCAGGTAGTCAGGTAACGCATCGAGTTCGGTGTTATACAATTTCTTGCAGAGGTATTCCCGAGGATCAATTAGAGAGAGCGGGTGAGCATTCTTCTCCGCTGCTTTCCGCGGCTTGCCATGAAGCGAGGGATAAAAGAGTGGAGTCATCACTAGAATTGCAAGACCAGAAAATACCCCTGCACCCAGAAGAGCAGCCTTGCCCATGTCCTTGGACTATGCTTCTCCACTGATCCGCTCGACGTTCCGTGCGGGGAAACCCACGGCAGAGCGCGGAGAACCGAGCATCACGTGCCAGGTGTACTGCTGTATATCTACCTTAGGATTATTGCCAAAGGACGTCTCCTCCAAGCCGAAATGTGTTGTATGAAGTCTAGGTAGTCTAGGTACCCTTCGGCAGGAGAGTTTTATTTACACAGCCAAGTGGAAATTCCTTTGAAAGATATGATAATATCGAGAGAAACATCATGTCCTCGTCAAAGGCACCTTGACCTCCTCTAGCCACTATCGTTGCAAATTGATGGCCATATACATCTATAGTTGATTCTCACCCGGTGCAATAGCATACAATAGTCTAGATACAATATGGAACGAATTCATGAAATGTATAGATGAGATCAACGGACAGAATGGGTATTGTGACTATCAATGTGGTGTAACGCCCGCCTTAGCAACCCAACATGAGAAACCACTTAACAATTGCAGATATATCTTTCCGAGCAAACTCAAGAAAAAAGTGCATGGACTGAGATCATTGAGACACAGTTCGACAACCGACAATCACTGTCCCGGCGATGTCGGATTGCTGGTCGGCCCTGTGAGGAATTCCGGTGGCACTTTCGGCACCCGGGGTGAGTTCGCCGTTTGCACGGCTGCACGATGCTGGGCCCTGATCAAGTCACGCTGCCGCTCTTTCTCCCGGTTTGCGGCCGCGCCGCCTGTAAGTCTTCTCATTCCGCTGCGAATCATCGACTCAAGGGATGAAGACCCGTCCGTTACACTTCGGCCTTGACTATTATGGAGGGTGGCCGGTGGTTTGTTGTTAGTCAGTCGCTCATCGAACTCATAGAGCCCGTCTTCAAACTCATCATCGGACAAAAATGCTGATTCGCTGAATCCAAGAGGTGGAGTGGAAAACTGTACACTGGAGGAGCTTGGAGGATAAAGGTTGTTAGCTGGCGAGGTGACGGAGCGAGCGTGTGTTGTCGGCCGCAACGTGTGGCCCGATATCTGGGGCATCAGCGTATTCGGTGAATATACACCCACACTATCAAAGCGCTGATTCGGCGGTCGGGATTCAGCGAGGCCATTGTGAAACGACGAGGTTGATGCAGTTCGCGCGAGTGATTTGCGCAAAATGGGTGCGGTCTGTTGGTCATAAAGATGCGCGCTTGTGTCCGCATACGCACCAGTAAAGCCTCGCAACGTTGCGTCTGGCATTACATCAAGCCCAGAGCTAATAGGCTCTGTCTCCTCGAAGAAATCATCGAGACTGTCTAGTTTTTGCACAATGTCTCCCATGTTGCCGTCCATCTGCGTGTCCATTGATTTCATGGTGTCGGCACGCATAGGGAAGAATGAATCTTTGTATTCATCCACGTGGAATTCGACTTCCGGTGTAACAGTCTCTTGCACTTCCATAGGGTCCACCTCAGCACAAGTGTAGAATACAGCGTGCACATTATGCCGAGTGACACTTGATTGAGTGGCAGGCATGGGTATGGACCACCCAGTAGGTTCGGGGATGCCATAAAGACTCTGAATCTTCTCGTATTCTTTGCGGATGGCCCGCGAGGACGAGGATGAGGCCATACTCATTCGAATATGATGGCGCTCCATTGGATTTCCGGAAACAGTCATGATGTGATCCATGACTTCTAAGGCTTGAGGGCAGAGATCGGTCTGTAGAAGTCGTAGGAGCGGAGAAATCAGGTCAGGTCCATGCGAAGTCACCTCGGGTCGCCGCATGTCAATCTCAGGTATCAACACGCAGAGAATCTTCAAGATCTTAACGCGAAACCATTTAGCGGTATTTGTCAGGAGGCCCATCAGAAAAATCAGGCTCTGAACGTCCTGACGAGGGAAGTAGTAAGACCGCATCTCTGCAATGATGTGATTCAGAAAATCGTTCTCTGTCTTATATTGTCCGTTGGCGAGCCCGAGAAGAGACGCTGCTAGACGCGGG